GTATCATTCTCACTGTATAAAGTCATCCATGAGGTGTAATTTACAGGATGAAGAGGAATAAATGGTGGCACAAACGAATGTTTAAACAGCTGTTAGCATTAGCTGGCTAGATAGCCCTGTTGAAAACAACAGCAGAGACCAACATGCATTTCATGCTGGTCTAATGCTGGTCTGGTGCTTGTTTCGCTGGTCACCCAGCATGGTCATGCTGGTTGACCAGCATATCAGCATCCACAACACAACATATGCTACTTTTCTGGGTGACCAGCCATGCTGGTCTATGCTAGTTTTTCTAGCAGGGAACGCAGCTGATTATAGAAACATTCATGAAACTCACATTTGCTGTATTGGCACAGGAAACTGACCAAATGCAAAACTGCTAACCTCTCTAGTCATTTAACACCAAAGTGGCAGGTTTTCATGTCTAAGGAGGAGGTTTTAGCCCTTCATCCCTTCAGATGAGCTAATGCTAAGGCTGGCTTTACACGATGAACAATCACAACTGTACACAACACATTTGATTAGTCCACCAAATTAGCAGCTCATAATTTTTGGTACACTGTATCATTCTCACTGTATAAAGTCATCCATGAGGTGTAATTTACAGGATAAAGAGGAATAAACAGTGGCACAAGCGAAGAGACCAACATGCATTTCATGCTGGCCTAGTGCTGCTCTGGTGCTTGCTTAGCTGGTCACCCAGCATGGTCATGTTGGTTGACCAGCATACCAGCATCCAAAACACAACATATGCTAGTTTTCTTGCTGACCAGCCAACACATTTGTTGTATTGGCACAGGAAACTGACTAAATGCAAAACTACTAACCTCTTTAGTCTTTTAACATTAAAGTGGGCAGGTTTTCATGTCTAAGGAGGAGGGAGCCCCGCAGATGAGCTAACGCTAAGGCTGGCTTTACACGATGAACAATCACAACTGCACACAACACATCTGAATACTCCACTAGATAGCTGTATTTTTGGTGCACTGTATCATTCTCGCTGTATAAAGTCATCCATGAGGTGTAATTTACAGGATGAAGAGGAATAAATGGTGGCACAAGCAATGGTCATGCTGGTTGACCAACATATCAGCATCCAAAACACAACATATCGCTGTTGTCGGAAGAAAACCTTGTAACTCCATAATGATAACTTTACAGGAGAAGGAAAAAACATACTTTACTTTTAATGTAAGTCAATGGAACCAGACTTTTTTCCAAGAGATTTTGGGCCGTTTATTTTGGTCCATTCATCATGAAATTCACATACAGTGTAAAGGTCAACATGCATTTTCAAATTATATCAAGGACTGAAAACGACAAGCAGCGATATGCTAGTTTTCTGGGTGACCAGCCATTCTGGTCTATGCTAGTTTTTCCTAGCAGAGAACGCAGCTGAATACAGAAACGTGTGTGTAAAGACACACATTCGCTGTATTGGCACAGGAAACTGACTAAATTCAAAACTACTAACCTCTTTAGTCATTTCACATTAAAGTGGCAGGTTTTAAATGTCCAAGGAGGAGGTTTTAGCCTCAGAGGCAGCCCCCTCAGATGAGCTAACGCTAAAGCTAACACTGGAGCTAAACAGCACAATGTTAAATGCTGAGGAGAACTCAGGCTTATTTACACAAAGTCTTTCAGCAAACATTAATACGACAACACAAAAAGTGACCTGTACTTTTACACTGAATGTTCTTAATTGCAAATGTGAGCATTTTACAGTCAGCAGCTTAAAGTTAAGAAACGGATCTTAATTTTCTATCCTGTCATTGTGTTGCTATTAAAATGTCAAAAAAATCTAAAAATGATTTTTAGTAAATACAACATCCCGGATAAGGTTTAGCTTACTTTAGTTTAGAGCCTGTTCATAGTTTTGTGAGCAGGTACTGTTTGGGTGGTGGATCATTCTCAGCACTGCAGTAACACTGACGTGGTGGTGGTGTGTTAGTGTCTGTTGTGCTGGAACGAGTGGATCAGACACAGCAGTGCTGCTGGAGTTTTAAACACTGTGTCCACTCACTGTCCACTCTATTAGACACTCCTACCTTGTCAGTCCACCTTGTAGATGTAAAGTCAGAGACGATAGCTCATCTGCTGCTGCACAGTTTGTGTTGGTCATCCTCTAGTCCTTCATCAGTGGTCACAGCGACGCTGCTGGGTGGATATTTTTTTTGGTTCTCAGTCCAGCAGTGACACTAAGGTGTTTGAAAAAACTCCAGCAGCACTGCTGTGTCTGATCCACTCGCACCAGCACCACACACACTAACACAGTGCTGAGAATGACCCACCACCCAAATAATACCTGCCCTGTGGGGGTCCTGACCATTGAAGAACAGGGTAACAAAGTATGCAGAGGAACAGATGGACAGTCTGTAACTGTAGAACCACAAAGTGCTCCTATACGGTCAGTGGAGCTGATAAAATGGACAATAAGTGTAAAAAGGAGGTGGTTTTAATGAAGTGGCCGGTCAGTGTATAGTGAATGTGATTAATGGCCTTATTTTGGCATTATAACCTATAATGCATTCATACTGGCAGAAGCTGAAAAATTCTGTGAATCATATTTAAAACAAAACTACCCAAGAGGCTGTGTGGTAAATTATGACACACCATCACGTTTTTACCCATAAGTAGGGGATTGACACACTGTAGTTATGCAGAAAAGGGAACAAGCATCACACACACTCAAGCAAACTTGTATTCCTATCTTTGTGGGGCCTCTTTTACTTACACATTTTTCTAAAATAAAAATAAAAAAAGGTTTTTAAGAGGGGAAACGCTTTTAAGAAGGTTTAGTTAGCTTCTTACTCGAATTTTCCGTTCCACCTTAAATGCCACAGCAGCTCTCACTCAGGCCTACTGGCGCCACAGCGGAGGCGCTGCACCGTTTAAGGTGGAACGGAAAGTTAAAGCATAAAGCAGGTGGATGACAAGCCAACTTCGGTCTAGCAGCAGTTTATTGGCAGCCAAATCTCTCCAAACCCACTAAATGTTCACGTTTTCAAAGTCCTGAAAGCACAAACGGGTGGTAAATGATTCCGCTGTGTGGAGACAGAAAGCTGAAGTTGTCAGTGCCAGGCTGAACTTCTGCAGAAGCCGAAGGGTGAAAAGTTTAGCCTGTGCCCTGCGGTTTCGCTCTGCTCGTCTGCTTCTCTATGTTTTTTTTTTTTGCCCACTTCCTGCGCTCACACAGCAAGAAGAGCTGAAGAGCTTCCTCTGTAATTAATCACAAGCAGCCATGGACGCAACACTCTCTTCTTCCGTCCTCTTTCTTAGCTCTGCGTCGAGTTCAGTCAACATTTTTTTTTTAAATACCTCATGAGCGCAATTGTTGGCATGTGGCGACTACTAGTGGTTGACTGTGGCATTGCAGGTTTAAAGGGGAACTTCATCGATTTTTCAAAAATCCTACATAATAATTAAATGGTTAAGACGTAAACAAACTCTTTCAGAGTGGTTTTCTATGAAATGTTCCATTTTACAGAAACTTGCCGAGTCAGAATTGTTCACAGTGGTGGTGATAGGAACCAGATGTCTGAAGAGTTTAATGCATCTAAAAGAGGGGAACTCCACCAATTTTTAAAAATCCTACATAATTAAAAAGGATGAGATGTAAACAGGGTCATTCAGAGTGGTTTGATGTGAAAGGCTCCATTTTAGATAAACTTGCCGAGTCAGAATTGTTCACAGTGGTGGTGATAGGAACCAGACGTCTAAGAAGAGTTTAATGCCTCCAAAAGAGGGGGAACTCCACCAATTTTTCAAAAATCCTACATAATTAAATGGTTAAGATGTAAACAAACTCAGAGTGGTTTGATGTGAAAGGCTCCATTTTAGATAAACTTGCCGAGTCAGAATTGTTCACAGTGGTATTGATAGGAACCAGACGTCTGAAGAGTTTAACCTTTAATGCCTCTAAAAGAGGGGAACTCTACCGATTTTTCAAAAATCCTTCATAATAATTAAGTGGCTAAGATGCAAACAAACTCATTCAGAGTGGTTTGATGTGAAAGGCTCCATTTTAGATAAACTTGCCGAGTCAGAATTGTTCACAGTGGTATTGATAGGAACCAGACGTCTGAAGAGTTTAACCTTTAATGCCTCTAAAAGAGGGGAACTCCACCGATTTTTCAAAAATCCTTCATAATAATTAAGTCGTTAAGATGCAAACAAACTCATTCAGAGTGGTTTGATGTGAAAGGCTCAATTTTAGAGAAACTGGCAGAATTGTTCACAGTGGTGGTGACAGACTTTGTGGTCCAAAGACTTTAAAGCCTCTAAAAGCTCCTTCACAGAAAGTTACTACATGAAACAGCGATACGTATACTGCTGGATGACTAAGACACTGATTTATGATAGTTTTGAGAAAGATTCTGGACAAAAACATACTTTCCTTAAATCCATTTGTGGTGAAGGAGTATGTGCAAGGTGATGTAATGCAAAATACACCCCCAAAGAAAACTGAGATCTATCACTATTTTACCAATACTAGCATTGCATACAAAACTCACAAGATGCGTCGTTTCACTTTTCTCGCTACATTTGTGTTGTACGCATGTGACCTCTGGTACCCATCAACACCACTGTAAAGAAATCTGAGTCTGTAAGTTTCTCTACTATCAACAGTTTCACACCACTAAAAGATTTAGTTTACATCTCACTGATTGATCTGTACAAGAATTAAGAAAAAAATCATGGAATCATGGAATTCCCTTTTAACTCCACCAAAGGGCTAAGTTGTAACATTTGCACTGTGTTTGTTCATAAAAGAGCTGAAAACAAAGTTTACGTTTTCATTTGTCTGAGATCTGCAAGCTGCTTGTATAAAATAAATAAAAATCAAAATGTGTTTTTTGCTCCTGGCTTCCTCTATTCGGTTTCTTGTGCATCTGTGCATTTGATCAGTTACCATGGTAACATGTTGATGTATTTCAAAATTTACGTCAACAGAGACGCCTTATTTTCAAGTCGTTATTCAAATGAAAGCCAAACAGCCATCAAACTTTGAACCGCTTTATTGTCACCGAGGGCAACAGTAAGCCAAGAGTTCTCGCTATTTTTTTCCTTTTAGACCTCACCTTGATGTCACATGAACCTATGGGCATGTCTGAACGTTATCTGCCGAACAGACGGCCAGACAGACGTGAACTTGGAGCGGTAAAACTGCAAACACTCCCGTCAGAGGCCCAGTGAGTGAGTGAGGGAGGGAGTGAGGGAGTGAGTGAGTGAGTAAATGAGTGAACGAGTGAATGAGTTGTCAAATGTGTGACTCACTCTGTACAAAAATCCAGAGAGAGTCACAAATTTTGTTGATGAAACCACCCAGTGACTTCATCGCCCTTCGGCTCCTCTGAGACGGATTGTGAAACACGGTGAAATATGTCAGTGAGTGATTTCATTTGTCCACTAGAGGGGGCTCTACTGAATGCAAGGTTCAGGTCACAATGACTGGGCGGATTCCTCGAACGAGTTTGTGAATACATAGGAGCAAATTTCTCTCTTTCTCTCTCACTCACTCACTCACTCAAAGAAAACACAAACAGCAGTTGTTAATAAAACATAGAACATTAATAAATCATATAGGGCCAGTTTCCCAGACCACAGTTAACCCTAAACCTAGACTAAACAGGATTTTCAAAGGTGAATCACCACTCACATTACAACTGAGCCCAAGTCTGGGCTCAACACATGTCCAGGAAACTGGCCCATAATCTCGTAGTTTAACCTACGGGCTGCGGGGAGAGAAAGTGCCGGATTGAACAGTCTTTGAAGGAAGGGAGGAGCGTTTCCATGCAGACTAAGACTAAGACTGGGTCCACTTTCCTCCTGAACGCCCGCTGCGTCCTCAGAGTCTGCCACACCTCCCCTCTTCCTCCCTCCTCCTCTTCCTCACAGCCACCAGAAGCGTATGTAGACGATGAGCATGATGAAGAAGACGCCGCCAGCTGCCAGCTTGGCGTAGGTGGAGCGTGTGTTCAGGTATTTGGCGTCGCTGCGGTACTTCTTGGACAGGCTGGACAGGTTGCTGGCCTTCGAGTCCAAAGCTGAAGGTGCAGAGAGGGAGAGGGACGAGTGAGAGACCAAACGTTTACATAGGCTGGCATCAACTGCATATTCATATATTCATAATCAAATGTTTTAAAACAGAACAGTAAAATAAAAGCCTGGAGACGAGACGGGGTGTGTGGAGTCAGTACAGCTTGGAGAATATAATTTCAGTGGATTATGGTTCAGTTATGTTCCCTGACTAAAGGTACCGAGATGGACCCTTGAGGGTTCCACCCCAGAGACAAGAGGAACTGACCCAGTGACTGTTTACTACCTTTATTTATAAGTGTTTCTTCACTTGCTATTATTATTATTATTATTATTGTTATTGTTATTATTATTAATAACAGAATTATAGTATTATTAGTATTATTGTATTTAGCAGCAGTAAAATCATTGGTAGGCTAACAGGATAGCAAAGCCCTTTATTAGTCCATTAGACAGCGCTAGGCACTTGTGAGGCCAAGGCTTCCCTCGACATTCCAAAATTGGGAATGTTCCTTGGATTTAAGGAAAGTATGTTTTTGCTTAACATTATGGTTTCCTTCAACTTAACAAAATACTGAAATGAGAGTATAAACAACAGTCCACACTTATCGAACCTCTCACAGTAAGAATGCTGATCTGGGGTCAGCTTACAGCTTTCATAGCCGAGGGTTTCAGTCACGTGATTTTTCTGTTGTGGCCGCTATATTTGGGACCGAATTGCTGGCTTTGCTGCTCCGCACGAACGTAACTAGAGGTGAAAGATGCTAAAACTACTCTCCTTACTTTGGAAGAGAAAAAACGTTACCTTGACAAAGTGGATAAAATAGGCTGTGATCCTTAAACAGTTTCACCTGAACTCCTGGTCCCACTTAAACTGGCGGAAAAGCTACCAAATTGTGTTTCCTGACATTTATATTTATCTTATGCACAACTCCTCTCCCTATTCTGGAGAGTCTCTCAAAGCATTTAAAAGCACAGAAGCCCACCGGCTCTTCACATCAGGGTGGGTAAAGGATCCCATTGTGTTGCATAAAGAGGAGAGAAAACTCTGATCATAGGAGGGTAACGACATCAGCTAATGAACACAGATGTGATCAATGCTGGCCTTTAGATAACTTTAGCTGATGTTAACAGCCGAGAAATGAACATTCTGTAAGTTTCCTAGTGCAGTTAGTTCAGAGTTCAGCTCCAGTCCTGAAACCCCTGCACTGCATAACTGTGGTTTCCTGGTTAGAAGACCTTATACTACCAGCTAATTAATCCCTTCTTGAGCTGAACGAGGTGAACAGCAGAGAGGAACACTAAACTATACAGTGCAGCGGCTCCAAGCCTGGAGTATGAAACACTGAATTAAAGGTCTGTGTGTCTCTCGTCGTTCTCGGCGTCTGTCGCAAATTAAAGGCATTATGGGCCATTATCTGCAGTCAAAAGTAATACATAAAAATTAACCACAAAATGTGATCTCAATCCTTATTGCCAATCATTGCACAGCGTAAAAGAACTGCATCATGGCTCAAGTATCATGATTATCATATTGAGGGGCCTCTAGTGATTCCCTTCCCCATTATAAACTACATATTTGCATGTTTAACCTGCACAAATGCACCCAAGTTCAGCTCATCACCTAATCATCAAGCTTTCCTGAGTTGGATGGGCTGCAACAGAGGAGGGAAATCACCCAAATGTGCTGAGGATCAAGACAGGGAACCACGTATATAGAACTTGGCTGTGTCCAAAACCGCATTCTATCATAGGGAAAATAGCAGAGCACCACTGGAAGGGCATTCATTAGTGTAGCATGCAGGGTATGTTAATGTGTGGTTGTCTTTCTTCTGTGTCTCATTATGAGGACAGGTTTACATTTAAATCCCCAGTCAGCGTTCACTGTAACTGGTAAGCTACATTTCTGGTACTACAGAAGCTACCAAAACCAAAATCTGTACCATTTGCTCTGGGTTGTCATTACTGACAGTGTTTCAAAGTACACAAATCAAATGCTTTTTGATTAAAACAGCATAATTTAATAGGCCCTTTTCACATTTCCGCATTTTTTCTGCAGGAAGTAGTCGTCGCAGGGTAACGCTGCTTCCGCTAAAGCAATTACAACAGCAGCGATGACGAGTAGAGCGTGTAGAGCTCACTCAAGCATTAGAGCTAGAAGCAAAAACAGCCTTATCTCAGTTTCAGTGGTTTGTCAGCTGACGATGAGCAGAGGAAAACGAGTTTGTGCTGTTGATAAAGGAATAAACTTTGTCATACGGAGTAAAAGTGTCTGCATTTCACCGCTGCGGACTAACTACACTGAATGCAGTTTGAGCTTTAAAGCTGCTGCTACGGCCACTTTCAGAGGAACAGTTTTCATTTTCTCACTCAAAAATGATCAACAGCTGAGAGAGCGAGTGCTCAGCGGAGAGATATTCGTTCACTGGTGCCCGTGGTTCCACCTTAAATGGTGCCTGAGATGCCAGTATGTAACTGCTGCACCATTTAAGGTGGAACGGGAACATTAGAATGAGAAGCTGGCAAACGAGAAACTGACTTCAGCTTTGTGACTTCAGTGTTTGACGGTTTCTCTTTGCAGATTAAACGTATCAGGAAACCGGCTGGAGTGATTATAAACGCGAATAAAAAAAAAACGTCTACAGTGTCGCTACGGACCCTGACGACCCGGCAAGCCCCCCTGCCGGGTTGTGCGCTTGTTTAGCTTTTTGCTGCTTTAGCGTTTAGTGTATTGTTAGCGAGCTGTTTCAGCATCTCCAGCTAACGTGGCTAATCTAGCATTTTTTTTATAGTTATTTTCACCTCTCCTTTGATTTATCACTCTGTAGACGTCAGCTGACCTTACTGTGCTCTGATAGCTGTGAAGGAGGTTTTCAACGAATCATTTACATCCTTTATTTAGTCTGGACTCCCACATTGTTGTATGTTTGGTTCTCCAACAGCTCTGGACACATCCTCCTATTTCAATCTTGGAAACCATGACAAAGATGAAATGACACACTCTTCTGTGATGAGCTGAAGTGATATGAACGCCTGTATTTCTGAGGTTTATAACTGCCCATAAGGCAACAGCGGAACTTGTTTCACTCAGCGGTTACAAACATCCGTTTCTTCTAAAAAGGGTCTATTATATCTGGAGTACTACACAAAAAACTTGAGAGAATAAGGAATAAATGAATGTGATATACAATAATTTAGCATCTTTAAAATGGAAGTCTATGCATTTCACTTTATTCAAGCTGTTAAATAACTTAAAAAATTAAATAGCTTGATAAACAAGGAAAAAAACTGAAAAAGTAAGTATCATCCTGTGTATAAGTAAGCATCCTGTGAGCGACTGGCCACTGTTTTAACTGCCCTGTTAAAACTACAGCACTGAGCGCATGAGCAGTGTTTACCGGATAAAGCCTCTCCTCTCTGCAGAACCTCCTCGATGTTGGCCACCATGATCCTCTGCACGTCCTGCAGCTCCGTGTTGATGTTGCTGAGGTTCCTGCGCGCTCTGCTGTCGATGTAAGACTTCTTCGTTTTCTGAATGTACGTGTCTGTGGGTAGAAAAGTAGATGTACTCATTTCTTAAGCTTGCTAAGGAATCAGGGTAGATTCACAGGCATTACAGGCAATTTGAGTTTATTACTTATTGCATATCTTAGAACTGTTCAGGTGAATAATTATGATGATCAATAAAGTCTTACCAAACTCGATGAAGGAATATGGTCTGGACACAGTGGGCACTTTCTTCCCGTGCTGTTCGTGAAATTCTGCTTGTAGGTCTTCTAAGTAAGCGAAGGCCAGCTTTTTGGGGAATCCCGCTTCACACAGCACCAGGTAGCACACCCCTTTCTCTATGACGTAGCTTTGGAAACACATACAGATGTCAGTGCTTAGCAGCTCATGCTGAGGTGCATTTGATGAAGCTTGATTCTTCAATTATTATTATTATTATTATTAATAATAATAATCATCATCTTTATTTATATAGTACTTTTCATGCCAGTGGCAGCTCAATGCTTCACAGACAGGTGATAAAGTTTAACAGTAATACAAGAAATTATGAGTATTAATTTAAAATCACTAAGAAAAAGACACAGACCAAATTAAAAGAAACGCCACGAGATGTTGACTTTTAATTAAACGCTGAGTTAAAGAGCTGCGTTTTTAGCTGCTTCTTAAAAGTGAGCACTGAGCTTGACTGCCTAATAAAAGGTGAACTGAGCTCCACAGTTTAGAAGCAGAATAACTGAACGAGTCTCTCCATGTTTTCTATATTTTACAGAGGGTGTTTGCAGAAGGTCAGTATCTGCAGATCTAGGATCACATGCTGGAACATAAACAGACAGACACTCTGTGATGTAAGCGGTGCTTTAAGGACATTCAGAGTCTAAAAAACTAGTAGCAAAACTTTCACCTTTTCAACTCCTTGGGACCACCGGTGGTTGCAAAACGCACTTCGTCATATTCTTCATAACGTTCATATTTCATAAGACACATTTAAAAGGTGGGGGTCATATGAGAGCTGTAACTGTCTTCTTTCCAGTCAAACAGATGGGTGATGTAATTTTAAACCCTTATAATAAAAGAAGCTGAACCCACAATTTTTTTTCTACTGAAAGTCGACCCATTTTTCCACAAATCTGGGCTATAAACTATAAAAAGACGGCGTCTCTTCAGTGATCTGCTCTGTAAAAATTATTTTTATAAAATAATACAAAGAGCATCTAAGATTTTTGGCTTTCAGCAGTAAATTGTAAACATAAAGCAATATGTGTGATCATAAAACACATTTTCTGTTAATTTGAGAGGAGCTTTTACAAAAAATAAAATAAATAAATATATATATATATATATATATATAAGAAAAATTTACATTTATTTCATGCAGTTACTGAATAATTTGCTTTACGATTTGGTCATGTGAATTCAGATAAAAATACCAAAATATACCTTAGTATAAGTGGTATATAAGTGGGTAAAATCTGTTCTGAATGATACAGGTAGCCAGTGCCGTTCTTTTAAAGCGGAAGTTATGTGATCTCTCTGTTTTGTGTTTTGATTCGTGCTGCTGCATTTTGTGTGTGTTGTACAGTTTTCTTAGGAAGTTCAGTAAGAAGATCATTACAGTGATCAACTCGGCATGAACAAATTTCTTTGTGTCGCTCTGAGAGAGAAAAGGCAGAACTTTAACAACATTTTTCAAATGATAAAAGCTACTTTAGTGACTGTGTTTACATGCAGGACAAAACAGAGCTCAAAGTCCAAGATCACACCCAGGTTTCGCACTTCAGGTTTGGTATATGAAGCTAAAGAACCAAGTTTCTCATAAAGCATCTAAGCCGGATAAATTAAGCTAAAATGCAAGACTATTCAACAGGACAGTCAAGTGTTCAGTTTATTGTACTGAATTTACACTGTGTAGAAACAGGAATACTCACTGGAAGGCCATAGTTCCAGCCTCCAAGGTGCAGCGGGTGGGACTCTGTTCATTAAGCTTCCGGAACAGCTGTTTGGCCTGGCTTTGATACTGCTGCAGGTCCCGCCCCATCTGAACACAAACCAGAGCACGGTTAGACACACAAACCCAGAGAAAGGCTGCTATCTGCATGCTCTTCATTATATACTTATGTACTGTAAACAGGTGATGTTTTCAAGCATAGCTGACAAAACTGTGAACAAACCTTTTCATTTCCCTTCATGGCCGCAAGAGAAGAAAACAGAAGGGAAAGGAAAGATATTAGAACTAATTTCAGGCTCTTAACTGTTAGTACAAAAGCTTTCACCACTGCTGTTGAAGAGGCTTGATCAGGGCCTGTGCAAAGACATTATTATTTGGGGACAGGGGTTCACTAGGAGACCCATCTACACATCCCGGGGAAGGCTGACGTAGTGTTAGGAGTCTTGCCCAAGGACTCCTTGGCTACGTTCACATTACCAGGTTGAAGTGGCACAAATCTGATTTTTTGCCCTAATGTGACTCAGATCTGATGTGCGGACACAAATCTGATCTTTTCAAATCCGAGCCACTTTCATATGTGGTCCTAGATCAGATGCGTATCCGATTCGTGGCCATGTGACCTTAATGTGACGCTCAGATCGGAATTCATGTGCTTTTTTTCCACTGCGCCATCATTCAGTGTTACCATGGCAGCAGCGTCGAACAGAAGTTAAAGCCTGTAAACGGTGGAAAAGCAGCACATCTCACCTTTTTCTCCTTCGTCTCGCTCTAATAATGAAGCTGAGAGCTGATCAGAGTTAATTATCTTGTCAGCGAAGCTCGTTCTGCTCGTTAGTTTGTGCTGATGATGAACGTGATTCATTCACGTGACGTTACTGAGTAGGATGAGCTCATGAGGGTCATTTCAGGACGCTGGTTCGTTCACATTAATGACAGATTTGAATCACTTACCTAAACGAGTGTGAACCATCATGTCAGAGAGATCGGATTTGAGCAAAAAATCGGATGTGAGCAATGAGGCTTGTAATGTGAATGTAGCCTTTTAGGAAGCCTAAAATAAGGATGCTCTAGCCAGAGATTTGAACCCTAATACTCCAGTGTGAGGGCTGGTGGTGTTATCCATTACTCTATCCACCCACTATGAGCAAAGTTAAACCTCTGTTTAAGCAGGAGATGCCAAAGGGCACGCGGCACAGGAGTAAAGCAAAATGCCACAGGACTATTTTGTGCATGCATCCCCTCTGTCGCCACTTTGCATGGCACTCTTGCTGCATTTGGTGGTGCAGTGCAGAACCTTCACGATTACAGCTTCGGATGTAAACTGAGCCTCACTTAGCTTAATTGTGCCTTACTTAACTGTCCTAATGGAATTTCTAATTTGATTTTTAATTTCATGATTTTGTCTGTTGAATGTATTGTTTCAATCATGTTTTTTTTAAAACATTATTTTTTATTTGTGGGTCTATGCAGATACAGGATTACAGACACTTGTATGAATTCCACATTTTGTATCATAACATGAACTAAAACAATATTGGGGGGAAAAACAACAAGGAAAAAACAAACACAAACAAACAAAAACACATATACATACATACATATACATATATATATATATATATATATATATATATATATATATATATATACATACACACACACACACACGCTCGCACGCACACACACACACATACATACATACATACATATATATATATATATTCACACAGTAATAATTAGGTCAGGAACTACTAGTATCTTGTACATTATTTGACTCATTAGGTTAGGAAGAAAACAAACAAATACAGAATACAAACAGGGTCATCTCAGTATGCACACAGATATTGGGATTGTAGTTATTTAAGCTAAAGAGTAACATTTACACAGAAGAGGAGAGAGTTATTCATGTGTTAATGATGTTTTTAATGTTGTTTTTGATTGTTCTTCTATTCATGTTTACTTTACTTTTTTAAACAACCCTGTATTTTCTGACTCTGTATTTTCTGAATGACCGCAGTGTATGAAAGGTGCTACGTAAATAAACTTGACTTGCATCTCATTGAAAAAATGCCCAATTATGACGATGATGTGCCACCGTGGTTGGCATGCTACCATCACGGTTGCTGCAGTGATGCAATGCTTTTCTCAAACTGAATCGCACTGAGTTGCCCTGGGTTTAATACGATTTGTTGTGCAGCCCTACAAACGTGAAATCCATTTCTTGTAAGGTTACCTGGTGCCGAGTCATCTGAAGCAAGATACAGTAGCAGGGTTGAAAAGAGTGCATAAAAGTTCATGGCATCTTTAAAAGTTAATGAAATGTTTTCTTTCAAGCATTTAGAAGCCAGAGCGCAAGATATCCTCCTATGGTTGCCGGCGTGTATCAGTTTATTGTCTTACAGCTGCGCTTCTGCTGTTGTCCCATTTTGAACAGCAGCGGTCAGTCTGGATGCCTCTCAAATGGCCCTTCCCTGCCAAAGCAGACCTCGTTAAGCAACAAAATGCACCAGACTCGCCCACCATAGGCAGACGCCTGCTTTGCGACACTGACCAGGGGCACAGTGATGCATTCTGAGTGCAAAAAAGGGACTCAGGCCTCCTCTGGACTCCATCTATGCACATGTGAACAGCATTCAGGGGCTATTTGAAGTAAGGGTGGATTACACGGAAGGAAGAACTGTCCCTAAAAAAGGGACCAGGGGTAAAAGGTTGATACGCATCACACCTGAGTAACGTGGCTCGAAATGACATCATGCACAGGCCATAATCACCATATGACGTCACGACGAGCACCGTAAAAGTGGCACTAACATTACCTGACAGTCAGAATGACTCAGTTTAATAAAGGCGAGCTCTTTTATAGACAGATAGGATTACAACTCATCAAACTGACATGTCTATGTCATATATATGATATGTCTAACCTAAACAGCACCCACTGTCCACACTTTCATTCCAAATAATATCCCATTCGCCAGCTTCTTGTTCCAATTATCCCGTTCCACCTTAAATGCTCCAGCACCTACATGTAACTGCAGCACTACTGAAGGTGGAACGGGAAAATCCGACTGAGAAGCTGGCTTCAGCTTCGTTGTCAGCGCGGAATATCAGACTTTACTGAAGGATGAAAACATTTAAAGGCTGTTATTGTTTTTACTGCTCGGTCTAAAGCGGAGTGACGGCTTCAGCTCAGCTCCGCCACAAAAAGGCCCCAAAACACGAAAAACCCCACCTGTTCGTCTTCTTGCATGGACGCAGCGAGCGGCAACCCATCCGCCAACCGAGCGATCATAGTCAGCAGCACCATGTTTGCGGCGTTTCTCTGTTCAGTCGCTGTTTCTGCGGCGTTTCTCTCAGATTTCTGCGCGTTTCAGCGACCCAAACGCGCTGAGCTGGCCGGATATACGCGAGCAGGCTGTGCTTCTCTGTTATTGCTCCGGAGGAAGATTCGAGAGCGTCTTTAGTTCCGGTTACTTTCAAAGCGGCTACGTCATTTTTTTACACGCAGGCAGAGTCCAAAACCGCGCGCTGGCAAACTGAAGAGCGTCTCCAGCAAACGGCCTATCACCTTCACACGAATTATTATTATTATAATAATATTATTATGATATTATTATATTTAGGGCCATAATTAATGAAAATAAGAATAGTAGACTTCGAGAAAAAAAGTCGTACTATTTTGAGAAAAAAGTCGTACTATTTAGAGAATAAAAGTCGTACTATTTCGAGAATAAAAGTCGTACTATTTCGAGAAAAAAGTCATACTATTTTGAGAATAAAAATCGTACTATTTCGAGAATAAAGTTGTACTATTTTGAGAATAAAAGTAATACTATTTCGAGAATAAAGTCGTACTATTTTGAGAAAAAAGTCGTACTATTTTGAGAAAAAAATACTATTTTGAGAATAAAAGTCATACTATTTCGAGAATAAAGTCATACTATTTTGAGAATACATACATACATCATCTAAACTGCTTATCCTCCTGGGTCACGGTGGGGTGCTGGAGCCTATCCCAGCTGTCATTGGGCGGAAGGCAGGATACACCCTGGACAGGTCGCCAGTTCATCGCAGGGCAGACAGACATACACAGTCACACACACATTCACACCTAGGGGCAATTTAGCATCTCCAATTGGCCTGACTGCATGTTTTTGGACTGTGGGAGGAAACCGGAGTACCCGGAGGAAACCCACGCAGACACGGGGAGAACATACAAACTCCACACAGAAACGACCCTGGTCACCCAACCAGGAATCGAACCCAGGCCATTCTTGCTGTGAGGCGACAGGGCTACCCACTGCGCCACCGTGCCACCCATTTCAAGAATAAAGTCGTACTATTTTGAGAAAAAAGTTGTACTATTTCGAGAACAAAGTCGTACTATTTTGAAAAAAAGTCGTACTATTTTGAGAATAAAATTGTAATATTTTAAGATAAAAGTCGGAATATTTCGAGAAAAACATCGTACTATTTCAAGAATAAAAGTCGTACTATTTCAAGAAAAGCGTCATACTATTTCGAGAATAAAGTCGGAATATTTTGAGAAAAAAGTCGTACTATTTCGAGAAAAAAGTTGTACTATTTCAAGAATAAAAGTCGTACTATTTTGAGAAAAAAGTCGGAATATTTAGAGAAAAAAGTTATAATATTTCGATAAAAAGTCGTAATATTTCGAAAAAAAAGTTGTAATATTTCGAGAAAAAGGCGTAGAATTACGACATTAAAGTGGCATTAATACCAGCAAAGGTCAATATTGTGGCCAAAGGCTTTGCGAAGGGAAGGCAGCACCTCCTTGTGTTAAATGAGGGGCGGTGAGTTGTTTTTTATTATTTTCAAATACTAAGTCAAGATTTTGACCTAATGCTGCCAGAAACAGAAAAGGAGCCAGGAAGAAAATTGTTGTATTTTTTGTCTTCTCTACCAGCTGAGAATGGGCTTCCATACCAAATACCTTGTGGTAAACCTGGCATGTAATTTGTTTACTCATGCAGTGCCTCCCCTCCACAAGACAGACCTGGCTTACACCAAACCCCCCACGACTCCCCCGGTTTAGTTCCATTCCTCTTGACTTTGTTGGTATTTTCATCCACCCAGAGAAAAACACTCCCCCTCGCTTTCATAACAGAGTTTATTCACAGTGTCAGTGTAAATAACATCTTTCCACACACAAGATAAGGAGCCTTTCAAAGCAACATGGTCGACAAGATGCTGGTGCTTCATGTCTATTTTGTAAGATGCTGAAGTCCACACAGCTGCGTGGACTCGGCTGAGTCACCCAGGAGAAGGAATTCCAGGAATCTGGTCTGGTTGTTTGTGGGTAAAGTCTGTCTCTGATAGAGTGCACTGCAAAAAATGGTCTCTTGTCAAGTGAACTGTTCTTAAATCTGGTCTATTTATCTAATATTTCCCATTTTGAGATGGTTGTGCACTTATTATAAGATTATCCAGCTTATTTCCAGAAATTATTTACTTGTTTTAGGTCATTTTATTAAGTCAAATTATCTCACTATACTGGTAGATAATTTAGCTGGTTTCAAGCTCATTTCTTACAACAAGCACAATGATCTGCCACTACAGTGAAATCATTTTACTCGATAAAATTAATTAAAACAAGTAAAAATGGTCTAGAAATACATTAAATATTCTTAAATTAAGCTCACAATCTCAACAGGAGGAATATTAGATTTATTGACTATATTTAAGATAATTTTACTTGACAAGACACCGTTTTTTTGCAGTGTAAAGCCAGACTAGCAACCGCATACTGATAAATGCTGTTTTTGTTCTGATCATCTGGCTACATCACCTATATCAGGGCTGTCAAACTCAACCACTAAAAGGGGCCATATTAGAAATCTCAACAAATCTGTGGGCCAGAGCAAAAATGTTTTTATTTCATTTATAATGAATGTTGTGCTGTAATCCGAACTGACCACTGTTTATTCAAAATGCGCAAAAACTTCAGCAGTAAAATACAGACATTTGTGGTAGAGTTTTAAATATTAG